GACTCAGACCCAATCAACCCCTGGAAAATGGTGAACTCTTGTAATTAAACCCTCTTTTTAATAAAATGTAACTATTTTTTATTTAGACTGGTTGTAATATCAGAGATGTAGCGAGATTGGCTCGAAGAAAAGATATTGTAGAATTTATCGATAAGGTAGGATAGGACCATCATTCTAACTTTTTCTGCGCTTACAAAAAGTTTTACTGCGAGCCACTGTGGCTCGGTGTGTTAGACGTTTGCTCGCTAACCTGAAGGTCCAGGATTCAATCCTGGCATAGGTCGAGATAATACCTTCAGATTTTTCAACCCAGTTTTCCCCTGTCAGTAAGTTACACGCTTGCTCGCTAATCTGAAGGTTCAGGGTTCAATCCTGGCATAGGTTGAGATAATACCTTCAGATTTTTCAACTCAGTTTTCCCCTGTCAGTGATGTAGGTAAGAGGGGCTGACATGGAAAAAGCATCTAGTCATTCAGATGAGGCCCCATGTGCTACAGGCTGTGTACGTTAAAGATCATTTGGAAATTGAAAAAGAGTAAGTTAAGGCTAATTCATAGCATTGCCTGTCTTCATGAGCCAAAATAGTTATTAGAGAGCGGATTCTAGAAAGCACTGACACAGGCATCAGAATTTTTCTTACCTTGATGAGGCTTCTAACCCACGGCGCCTAATCACCTAGCAGACGACAATCCAACTCGCTACTGACTGAGCTATTCCACTGTCCTAGCAGACGACAATCCAACTCACAACAGACTGAGCCATTCCACTGTCCTACCAGACGACAATCAAACTCACTACTGACTGAGCTATTCCACTGTCCTAGCAGACGACAATCCAACTCACTACTGACTGAACTATTCTACTGTCCTAGCAGACGACAATCCAACTCACTACTGACTGAGCTATTCCACTGTCCTAGCAGACGACAATCCAACTCACAACAGACTGAGCTATTCCACTGTCCTAGCAGACGACAATCTAACTCACTACTGACTGAGCTATTCCACTGTCCTAGCAGACAACAATCCAACTCACAACAGACTGAGCTATTCCACTGTCCTAGCAGACGACAATCTAACTCACTACTGACTGAGCTATTCCACTGTCCTAGCAGACGACAATCCAACTCACAACAGACTGAGCCATTCCACTGTCCTAGCAGACGACAATCCAACTCTCTACTGACTGAGCTATTCCACTGTCCTAGCAGACGACAATCCAACTCACTACTGACTGAGCTATTCTACTGTCCTAGTAGACGACAATCCAACTCACAACAGACTGAGCCATTCCACTGTCCTAGCAGAAAACAATCCAACTCACAACCGACTGAGCTATTCCAATGTCCTAGCAGACGACAATCCAACTCACTACTGACTGAGCTATTCCACTGCCCTAGCAGACGACAATCCAACTCACTACTGACTTAGCTATTCCAATGTCCTAGCAGACGACAATCCAACTCACTACTGACTGAGCTATTCCAATGTCCTAGCAGACGACAATCTAACTCTCTACTGACTGAGCTATTCTACTGTCCTAGTAGACGACAATCCAACTCACTACTGACTGAGCCATTCCACTGTCCTAGTAGACAACAATCCAACTCACTACTGACTGAGTTATTCCAATGTCCTAGCAGACGACAATCCAACTCACTACTGACTGAACTATTCCACTGCCACAAAAAGACAGTTTCAAAGTTATTAACCTTGCCTTGGTGGTTATAAATTTTATTTTTCTGTTATTTTTTTTTCAGTATTATATCAAATTGATCAGGGATTCTGAGTTAAGTCAGTTAAGACGGTTATTGATAGACGGTTATGATAGTTTACTTATTCAACATAATGTAAGTTGTTTAAATATTTACTTTACAGAGCTCAAAGCTAGAGCTTAATTTCACCTGACTAGAGCTCAATTTCTTCTGACTACTGACAAGAGCTCAATTTCTTCTGACTAGAGCTTGCTTAATTTCAGCTGACTAGAGCTCAATTTCTTCTGACTACTGACAAGAGCTCAATTTCTTCTGACTAGAGCTTGCTCAATTTCAGCTGACTAGAGCTTAATTTCAGCTGGCTTCTGACTAGAGCTCAATTTCAGCTGACTAGCTCAATTTCAGCTGACTAAAGCTTGCTCAATTTCAGCTGACTTGAGCTTGCTCAATTTCATCCGACTGGAGCTCAATTTCATCTGACTGGAGCTCGATTTCATCTGACTGGAGCTCGATTTCTGCTGACTAGAGCTCAATTTCAGCTACCCGTATCACTTTTCATTTCTCACATAGGGATACTGAAGATCTAATGTCATTATTAAGTTTGAATTTTAATTATGGAATTGAAGGAATCAATGTCTCCCGTTAATTAAAAAAAATCTCCAGGAAATTCAGATTTTTGCCATCAAAATAGTGTTTCTATTTGACTGGAAATTTTTGACTTTTCGTTGAGCTATATTTTTTAAATCATTTTTCAGAATTTACAAAGTTTTTTCATATTTTTATGAAATTGTATCCATTTTGAGATTTCTCAGAATGTTACTTTCATTTTTTCATTTTCTAATAGTATAGAGTTTTATTTATGCCAGTGGTAACGAAACGAATCAAGTTTTACAATTTATAGAAGATCTTCCAAATATACAGGTACGTACATCGTATATCGTATATTTCCGAGTATAATGCACAGTTTTTACCATCGAAACGGATTGTCAAACTGGGGAGCTAATAAAAACGGTCAAAGCCAAGCAGTGTGCAATGAAGAAAATTAGCAGCATTAGCTTGGTCTTTTTCCAACTGTCGAGGGATCTTTAACATGCACAGCCTGTAGCACACGAAGCCTCAGTTTATTGTCCCATCCAAACGACTAGACGCTTTTTCCATGACAGCCCCTCTTAGCTACATCACACTTAATCGATTTCCAACTGTCACGGGATCTTTAAAATGCACAGCCTGTAGCACACGAAGCCTCAGTTTATTGTCCCATCCAAACGACTAGACGCTTTTTCCATGACAGCCCCTCTTAGCTACATCACACTTAATCGATTTCCAACTGTCACGGGATCTTTAAAATGCACAGCCTGTAGCACACGAAGCCTTGGTTTATTGTCCCATCTGTACGACTAGACGCTTTTTCCATGACAGCCACTCTTAAATAGCCCCTCATCACTGGCAATTCTTGTAACGTGTGTAAACATTCATCTTGGGCATTT